ATGAGCACGAACGAATGTATTGTATTGCAAGTATCACATATTTGGTTCAAGTTTATTCTTTACCTTAATCAGTCTATTATTTTCATCTTATCTGTCAATATGATAATATTTTATTCGCTGCTATTGATTAAAATATCTGACAAAACAAGGGTAAACAAATACCACGATACAGCTGATGTCAAAGATTTTCAGGTAATGCGGTCGTACCAAAGAACATTTTAATGGTTTGGTCAGCTTATGATGAGGATTTTACTTCCCATTTAGATAAAACTCCATCTGCAGTATTACTCCTAACCAGAAGGTTCATTCTTCATTAAATATACAGAACGTTCTCAGGCTATCCAAATGAAAGGCGACCAATCAATCCAGATCTCATCCCTTTATATTTTCATATACCTAGAGGTGGCCATATTTCAGCATTCCGCATCTTAAGTAATGAATTGTATGCTAAAATGAATTGTCCATTGGTTTCCTTTTGAAAACAGTCCTCCGAAGCTATTTCTAAACGTTTCAATTAACCACGATCGAATGAAATTCATTTTGTTAAGAAATGACGCGAGTGGGGATAGTTTAAGAGTCGTGGGTGTATACTTCTGAAAAATCCCATCCTGAAAAATAACACCCAACCAGTGATATCTGGCTATCACTGAATCCCCATGATGTAAACCCTAAACTCCGTATTTCAAATTACTTCACCAACCATTAGATCTCACTACAAAAAAAACAGTATTAGCTTCACGACCAAACCATGCAGCTCAGAGAACAAAACTCCACCAAAATCATCCACCCGAGCTACAAATCTTCCCCACCATCTCAAACAGTATTAGCGAAATCAGTGAACGCCTACAAGAAGAAAGTGGGTATTCTAAGAAGATCAATAGATGATACAGATCAAATAACCTGCTATCCCTGTTTCTAAAGAATGGATTCCTTTTTATATAAATTAAACAGTCGAAGTATTAAACCTTTGTTGAATTTCTGAGGCAAATCATAATTAACCATAAATTTCAAAGATGAGTAGTCACTTCACTAGTGACATAAGTGACTCCATTAGTGGTGGTTTTTCATTATAACTTTGGAAGTTAATCTTGAAGCTAGTCACTAGCTACATATAATTATTACTGAGTTGTACTTTGTAGAGATTCGTCTAATATTTTAATTTGAAGTCTAACTTCCTTTATCACTGAAATGCAGTATACATTTGTACATGTCCGTAATGCGGTTTTTTTTAAACCATCTATTTGTTTAAGTAATGTCCATTTGACTGTTAAATATGTAAAATCCACAATTATAATGTATAAGAAAGAGATCGCTTTGTGCGTCCTATAAAACGTACCCCATATGACCAAGTAAATTTATAGAAACCCATTGATGTGGCCCGAAGCGGAAGTTTATCTCTAACACATCCAAGAGTGGTAGACGAGCTTGAGAAAACAATTCGGAACTTAGCTGAGTAGAATGTTTCATTCAACAATTTTGAAATCCGTTTATTGAAGATTTCGGAACACTAGCCGATTTGACTTTTAAAAGGTGAATGTAAGAAAGAATTCTATTGTGATATAATTAAATGCACTCAAATGTGAATTAACTCTTGTTAGATCTTAATCATAAAGCTTTTCACTTTAGTTAATGAATAGGGATAAAGAAGATAGAAGTTTCATTTATTCTCTGTTCAATTTGGTATTGTGAATTAATAACTTAAGGGAAAATTGTATCACCTTATTACTAAATACAAATTACTTTTTATATAATGTAATTTCAAATAAATCATGACTAAACCATCCAGCTTAGAGAACAAAACTCCATCAAGATAAATCTAAGAAATAGACAATTAGGAAAATGCTATGAAAATGGATAGGACACACATTACGTAAATCATCAAACTGCATCACGAGACAAGGCCTAACTTGGAATCCTGAAGGGAAACGGGAAAGAGGAAGACCAAAGAACACATTACGTCGGGAAATAGAAGCAGATATGAAAAGGATGAATAACAACTGAAAAGAGCTGGAATGGATTGATCAGGACAGGGTTGGATGGCGAATGCTGGTGAGCGGTCAATGCTCCTTCACGAGGAGTAGCAGGCTTAAGTAAGATGATAGAAACAAGTGAAAATATTGATATTCAAGAATATATTTCTAATTTCCTAGATTCTATCTGGAACTATTAAAATAGTATATGTTTAAAAACGATTTATTGATTTCTTTAATATATTTAGTTATTTATAAATACCTTTCATTAAAGTTTTTCAGTATAACAATCATTGAATATTATTAACCAAATATAATTAATTCCAACTTCAATATAAGTTACCATCCTTAATTAAGATTTTCTTAAACTAAAGATAGAGTATACAAAACTTAACATGATACGATTAGCAAATGTTTTTTTGTAAAATCAACTCCGATAAAGTGATGACGAAATAATAGAACTTTACACAGACATTATTCTTAAATGTAAATGAAGTGTATAATGTATAGATAAATTATTCAGCATAAAACTATGGAAACCGATTATCAGAACGTAAGTGTATTTATTTATCTGTTATCATTGATAAGCTATCCAATCGAAAACCTTACATCAAAATGTAAATCAGTAATTAAATATATATCCGCACTCTGATTCCTAGATTACACACGAAGGCTAGAGATGTTGATGGTTGAGTAAATGCACAAACCGGTATCACGAAACTTGGTTTAATACTCATTTTTCCTATCTCCTTGCTTTTTCAGTCCTTATTTTCTTTGTCTACCAAAAATATCTAAAATTTAAACAGGTTTTTTAATATATTCTTATCGTAGAGAGAAACTCAGAAAGTTTGTGAGGTTTGAATAGGTGAAATAATAAGAGCTGTTAGTCGTGAATAATAGCGCTCCAAGGACCAGTTATGGAAATTCTAAAGTTGGATGTTTTAGATTTATCTAACAGGAAATTAATTTAAACAATTATCGATCCTCATTAGCATAAAGTACTAATGGAACTGAAATACTAGTCGGACACCACTGTTTTCATTTGGATTTGACCAATAACCAATTACAAAATCATGTCCCTGATTGGAGTCCTATATCTTATGAAAGGCCTAATAATACTCATATTGAGGTGGAACTTGGAACCCAATGGTGGAAAACCAATTGCTTTCACCAGTAAGCCACCAACCAATAGAATATCAACACAATCCCACCTTATTCAATATTGTACAAATAATCGAAGATCATAAGATACCTTGTTTAATAAACCCCGACTACTACTGATAGTCCTCAAATGTTACAGTTATATTAATGATTCAATAGTGAAGTTGTGGTGTTTGAATTAACTAATGATTCCATTGTACTTGTTGAATGCTCGATTTCGAATTCTAAATACAATACATTCGTTCGCGCTTGTGTCTTAATTCTTGATTCAATTGCATTAATTCTGGGATTCCTAGTTCATACGATAATTCAAATATTATAGAAGTACACTAACTAATGATTTTTACGGGTGGAATGAAACACTTTTAAACTAGCAAGACGAAAATGTTGTAAATCTAGTGGCCTAATAGTCAGCTAAGCTTGTTCACTACAGTAATACAGATACTTCCCTAGATATTTGATCAGATGTAGTTCTAGCTGTTTTGGTTATACGCTAATATTCCTTACATTGAGATAAAAACATGTCGCTTCAAGACAGTTAGTTTTTTCAATACACCCTTTACGTTTGTATTTCAGAATAACCCGGTTTTCCATATATGTAGTCTGAATACCAACTTCAGCTATAAAAATTCATCCATGTAACCTATACAAAAATAATTGAGTGCATTTGTCGCCACACTGATATCGTTAGTTGCCAAAACAGGCAATAATTTTCAGATTCTAAAGTGCAAACCTGTCTTAGATAGATCGACATTAAGAACCAAGAAACAACCGACAGCTGTTTAATCCTAATATAGAACTCTAAAGCAGTGCGTGTCTGGGAATCCAACCCCAACGTTCGATCTTGCACGCAAACGCCTACTCATTAGGTCACCGATAGAACTGACCAAAAATGGATTATTTTTACATTAGGGTCTATCAATAAATTATCATCATTAATCCTGAGACGTTTCGGATAATTAATGGAGCATCTTTCTATCCAACTCAGTCATTAAGCAGAAAAAGCCAACAGGTATTTTTAGATTAATATACTACTGACTAAATATCAGTAATAAAAATACCTACTAAGTCTTTCAATATATGCTCGTTTACACTACATACCAAAAGCTTCCCTTAGTAACCATTATCAATGATAACAAGTAATAGATTTTTAAATCAATTTTAACAGTGAATAATTGTGACAATAAAATTTATGTGAAAAGAAAGCATTGCCTTAAGTATGAATTACGACAAAAATATTGTCTTATTATTAATAATCAGAAAATGTATAAAAATGCAAAATAATGACGTTATGAATATATATCTTGATAACTGGTATACCTTGATGAGTATAACAAAATGGATGAATGAGAACAAATATAATGTGATTCTGAAGATACATTTAAATGTCATAAATAATTTTAATCACAACAGATAGGTAGAGTGGTTTTTAAATGACGTTTTTTTCTGGAACCAAATAGCTGAATGAATAGTAAGTTAGAGGAAGTTTAAATTATATATAAACGATGAAAGGATAACCACTAGTTTGGATGAAAATCAACATGGATACCAGAAAGATAATCAATTCGGATGAATATATATATATATATTTTTTTGTCGAGCACTAAAACATAATACGCTAAGAAAAAGAATTTATTTCTCCAATCCTACCGGGTACTAAGACATTTTGTATCGTTAAAAAAAGAGACGCACAATCTCAAAACACAAAATGCACCAAACATAGATAATAGATGCAAAGTGTAGAAAACGTTAAACGAAGTAAAGGAAGTACAATGCAGCTAATAATGAATTGATAATTTATAAAATCAAATGAACCATATATGTATTGTCAAGCGTACTTCCTATCCCATACACCATCACAATTACTTGCTATTGTTTTTCTGTTACATTAATGAGTGGAGCTATCTCTTGATTACCCATTGAGTTCAAATAACCATTCAGGTAATTAACATCACTCGGTAAAAACTTATGATAATCATTATTACCACTACCATTACTGCTATTATTATTTTGAAAATCATCATTACAAGTTTCTTCCTTATTTAATTGATCGTCAGAGAAAGCATTCTCTGAATAATGATTATTGTTTAAACTATTTTTCAATGTATCATCATTACAGATTTCAGAGTTTGTAGGATAATCTTTTACTTCAGTAACTCTCACTGTACCAGCTTCACGTTTGCATTTTAATAATTTATATACACATAATAAAATAGTTATAATAAATATAATAGATATCAAAATCAATAGTATAAGTGATAACCAAAACGTGTTGACGTATGCAGACAGCAGCATAGTAATCGGTTGTTCAGAAGTTTTTTTCCGATAGCCAACAAATTCTAATAAACTTGTATTCTCAAATTGATTTAAAACATCATTTAGCATTCGATATTCGTTTTCAATCTGGAACTTTGTATGTGGAAAGCTCATAGGAGGTGTAGATGAACAATTTTGTTCATCCGAACCACTTATTGGACAATTCAACACTTTATCGCACCATAATCGTATGGGTAAACAAATACGATAAGGCCATTGCAAGGGAGAGTTGCGACGTTCATTTATTTTATCAAATGTATCACAAGCAAAAAAGCCCGATGGACAGGTAAAAACACCCGGTGGTAAACGATCTAAATTATAATGGGAAATAACAGAAGTAACAGAATTGATACCAAAATAATTATAATTCAACTAATCGATAGTACGAACACAAATACAACAATGAATATAGTAGGTATAGAGTAGTAATGTTATTTAATATGACTAATATTATTTTGTTATGAGGATCTTAAATTACATATAATCTCAATTACTGTACGTTAACTAATTTCTGGAGACAGTATTTTAGGTACAGTGATTTGAAGGTGAAGATAACTAGATTTTACGATAAGAATCAAAAGTACTGCTTCATTTCACACAACCAGTCATCAATCAGTCTGAGCAACATAAAACTTGGCACAAATATGCATCGACCAACACCGCATATCATTACAATGATAAACAACGACAAGATGAAAAGCAAAGAAGAAGAAATATCATCTTCAATGGGAAGCTAAGCACAAAGTATTTAGTTCCAAAGGAAAAAATGATGTCATGTAACGAAAAGTATGAAAAAATTATTAACTCGTGATTTAGAGGAAAGATAAAAATGAATAAAGCTACATTAGTGTGACTAGTTTTAAGCGAAGCCACTAAGTGGCTTAGATCGTAAATCACGATTATCCCACAGGTCCCACTTAAATGGGGTCTTTGTAACATTATTATTATTATTTGAACACATGAATATTGGTACAAGAGATAGCCAATATATATAGCCTATATATATATATATATATATATATATATATATATATATATATATATATATATATATATATATAGACCAAAACATGGCACAAATCCATGAAGTCACTGACAAGTGGTCTGAGTCATGTTGGTAGGTGTAGACTACCTGGTTGGGGACCGCGAGATGATAGCAACCGATGGTTAGAGACCCTGAATGACATGGCTCAAAATCGATTGCAATGGCGCAGGTGCATCCACTCTCTATGTTCTCCCAAATTCTAATCTTCTGAATTCTTCATGCCCCTTTTTTTCCTCTTTCCAAATTTATTTCACTGGATTACACTCGTTAAATAACATCTCCAAACCCTAATCCTCCCGATTACTGCTTATACTCTTGCTACCTCTACCACTACGGGATTTGAATCGACCACTGCATCTCTGTGCTAATGTGGTATGGCAACTCGAACTGATGTACGTACGTACTAAGTTCTACGTTGTTACTGACTGACAATATATATGCGCCACACAAAACAATGAGAATTCGAAGACAGATAGAAAAAAAAACTAAGGAGCGCAAAAGAAAAAGAGAACAATAACGAAGAGATGGGTGTAAGGTAGTGTGGTCGTAACGAGGGAACGGAAAGGTACAATCAGAAGAAATCTTTCAGGTAAGGGAGACACAACCACTTTTTATGAAGAAAGTAAAAGGTTACAGCACGATCGCCACTGGCTTCTATTCTGAGCCATATCTGATAACGTCTCTAGCCACTGTGTAGAACCATCTCTCAAACCCCAACCAGGGAGTCGTGAAGGACCAACACAAGCCAGTCCTTTGCAGCTTTCTTTCATACCACGACACTATGTCATGCACTGACTACCTCTCCGCTTTTTCCAACCAGTCCCAGAGTCGGCAAACAATGCACGACGTGGAATTCTCCGGGACGACATTCGTATAACATGTCCAAGCCACCGAAGTCGGTGTTTCAAGATGGTGACACCAATTGCATTATCATCTCTGCAACCGAACACACGATGCCGAACCTCTGCATTGCTAACATGGTGTTGCCATGAATGTCAGCAATACTTCGAAGACAGCGATGATCGAACACAGAGAGTCGTCTAACGTCCTCAACTCGGAGAGACCAGGTTTCACAAGCATAGAGCAAAACTGCTCTCACCGACGCGTTGTAGATCCGACCTTTTAAGGCCAGACTAACATCACGCAGGCGCCAAAGATGGCCCAGATTGGCATAAGCCGCTCTGGCTTTCACTATTCGTGCATTGATCTCATCACTCACACACCCACCACCACTTATGCAGCTACCCAGATACACGAACTTCTCGACTACTTCTATCTGCTCACCATGCAGGGTGAGTACAGGATTAGAATCCTGCCAGTCTTGTAGAAGTACTTTGTACTTCGAAGGTGAAAAGCACATACCACAACTACGGACACTGATTGTCAACTGATTAAGAGCGGATTGCATGCCTTGGGCATTGTCACACAGTTATTTATTTCAACACATAGATAATGGTACAAAGAGGCACCAAATACATATGCGCCACACAAATCTCATTCGATGTGTGAGGGCTGTGATACTGCCCGGGTGCCCAGACCGAAGCAGGATTATCACACAGTAAGACAATATCGTCCGCATACTCAAGGTCGAGAAGTCTTTCTCCAGGCAACAGATCCACACCACCATTACTTACATTCATCAGAGCTGTTTCCAGAATGTCATTGATGGCAAAGTTGAAGAGGAATGGTGAGATTGGGCAACCCTGCCTAACCCCACTGCTTGAATGGAACAAAGGAGAGAGGTGGTTGTATGCCCTCACTCTGCCTGAGATGTTTGTGTATAGGGCTTTTAGGATGTTAATAAACTTCTCAGGCACACCCTTCTTCAATAGACAATCCCAAAGAACAGTCCTGTCGAACGAATCGAAGGCAGCCCTGATGTCAAGAAACACTACGATTGTTGGCCTTTGATAAGTATGGCGGTGTTCTAACATTTGGCGGTGGGTGAAGATGATATGATCAATACATCTTCGACCAGAACGAAACCCGATTTCCTTACGTAACATCCTTCGTTTGTGGTCAAACTCACGGTCACCCGGAGTAGACCGACGGGATTCAATGAGTTGTAAGGAACCTGAAGAAACCCAGTGCTTAAAAGCGGGACGTTTCGCAAACCCACAACTGACTGTTCCCGCCATTTTCATGGTGTCATGCAATTGCAACCAATGCTCATCTATACTTTTCGGTGGAGTGGTAGCTAGCCTAGAAGCTAGCTCGGTTCGATACTTACTTGCAACAGAAGTTGCAACCAGCTTGCTAATATCAATCCGTTGGTAGAGGTCATTTCGTTGTCCACTGAAAAGTAAGGTAAGATTGGCGCAGACCAAGGCATGGTCAGAGTCCAGATAGGTACTCCAAAAGAAGCGGCAGTCTTGTACACAACCACGCCAGAGGTATCTGATCGCGATGTGATCAATCTGAGTCCAGGCTTGGGATGCAGAGGCAGGACGCCAGGTGGCATATCGGTGATGACTGTGCTGAAAGTTAGTACTAGCCAGAAACAGGTTGTGGTCTGTGCAAAGTTGCAGTAGACGGTCCCCGTTATCTGACCTGCGACCAACGAGTCCCCATCGGCCACCTAAACGACTCTCTTCTGTGCCTAGACGCCCGACCTGAGCATTCAAGTCTCCGGCTAGTACTACAATATCTGTCGAACGCACTTTCTGGAGAAGGACAGATAACTGGTGGTAAAACTCATCCTTGATTGCATCCAGGCTGCAATCTGTCGGCGCATAGGCGGAGATGACGAAAAGACATCGTTTCTCACGCCGATTTCTTCTCACTTTGATGGAACTTTCTAATCTAACAGCACATAACCGACTGTAAATAGGGATCCAATCGACTAGTGCTGCCTCAGCTCTAGCGCTAAGTGCGACACCAACGCCAGCAAGACCAGACGAAGATGCCACAGGGTCCCCGGATAAGCGCACGTAACACAAGCTTTTCGAAACGACAGATGGAGAGCGAATTTGTAGTACTTCGACAGAGTCTTGAATACGAGTCTCGGATAAACAACAAACATCAATATTAAGACTTTCCAAAGACATAGCCAGCCCTATCTGTTGTCCGACCTGCACTAGTGTGCGAACGTTGAAGGCAGCCAGTTTGAATGGTGCACGTGGTTTCAGAAAAACTGCTTCAGTTCTCGTATTCGGTGGTAACATACAATTTTCAATCGGACAGTGACTCGAAAACGTTTAGATACAGTCGAATTTCCACCAAAGACGAGCCGCTGTATAAGTATAAAAGAGGGTGAATAATGTGGAAAATAATAATAATAATAATAATAATGATAATAATAATAATAATGACAATAATAGTAATAATAATAATAGTATTAATAATGACAATAATTGTAATGAAAATAATTTGAATCAATTGATTGTTTATCGAAGCGAGAAAAGTAATTTCCATAGACATAAAGAGTTCATCATTTGTGTGTGGGCTGTGATACTGCCCGGGTGCCCAAACCGTAGCAGGTGGTTATCTTAGGGGGCCACAACCCGAGCCTTTGACCTAATGGTCTAACTCACAAGGCAGTGGAGCATCGTAAGGAGATGCAATCCCATGGTAGCCGGTGACAAACGATTGGTTCATACGCCATTTGTTCCCTCAGGATACTGGAGCCCATGTGCACCATTGGTTTGTGATCCGGTTAAAGCGCCGGACATTCGCTTTTCGTCCTCTCATTTTCGTAAACAACACCCCCGCCACGTGAAGGCAATGAGTAGGACTTCCCTGGTAGAGGCTGTATACGCGCGACCGTGTGAGAGTATTTCGAGAGGGAGAGCGGACTCTCCCCACTCTCGGCCGTACCAGGGCATTTGGGGGGCTGAAGTATCTCAGATAAATATCCAGTAACCATATGAAAAGATGCCATAACTTGATCTGCTTGGTCTTAGCTCTTCATGAACGTCGATTGTATAGCTGATTCATAAGACTATCAGTCAAACATGGTCGCTTAACAAATCTTACACTGATACAATGGTTCAAACACCATACCACTGTGAGAGGAAATTTATACTAGCGAAGAAACATTCCCATCTCCAGTGTGATTTGTTTCCACATCTAAACTAAAGAAAAATGAGTCAAGTAAACTCGTTCTAGAGGGTGTAGCCATGACTATTCGGGAAAACATGAAGATAATTAAAGTTTAGCTACCTATCACAGTTTAACCTATTTCAAGACTTCCTGACTCCAATTAATAAACATACCTCTTGGCTTGTAGTACGAATAACACAAAAATTACTAACTTAAAATAAGACTGTAGGAAATGTTTATTTAAGGTAAAGAATAAGATGTTGGATAGATCCGACCAAATACATTTACAGGATTGCTATTGAATGACAGAGTGGCTGAGTGTAATTTAATCAATCGGCTTGATAAAATAGCCAACAGTGATTAATGGAGACTAGGACCGAATCGTTTTGGATGCTCTTCTCTAAAAAAGCAGTGGGACAGTACACACACGAGTTTTAAAACCTGAATGACTGACTATGAAGCCACGCAAAATGTTTGCTGTTTATAAAATAGCATTATATCTTGACATCGCAGAAAAATCACCTGTAAATAGACTTTTTGGTGCAAAGGGATTAGTTCAAATAGAGCTTGAAAGCCAAACGATTTCTAACTTACAACCAGAGGTGACAATTATATGCATGCTGTTGTTATGTATACCCGGATATTCACCAACATTGTTAACTGAAACTTTCAGACCAGTAGCAAGTGGGAACATGAAGAAATAGGGATCACTGATCTCATCTTTGCAACTCCCGCTAACCTTAAAAATAAATAGAAATGTAATTAGCATTTGCAGTGACTAAAATTAAATTTAAAAACCTTCATAATGCCATATGTTTGTAGTCCACATGCTTTGTCAAATAGTTTCCACTTACTAGAGAGAGAGTTGTAAAACATTGTTTTTAATGCATGTGAAGATTTCCAAACACCTTATTTGCTTTCAATACTTACTCAAAATGTTGAATACAACAGTGTTGGGGTGATCCAAAAAATTTCTCGCAAAAGACAAGGATCAGGAAACACTAAGAAGCGTTTCATCTAATCCGCGCTCACTTAATGTTTTAGCCAAAAATATCAGGGAAGTTTAACATCACATGTAGAGATTCTGATTGGCTTATTGCTATACTGTTACTATGTTTAGTAGCATTTCAGAATCTTCGAGCAACCCAAGGACATTTAGAATATTATAAAAACCCTATATTTTCTGTATTGAAATGGACCTTGGAGTAAAGTACTTCTCGCATACTTTGCGTCTTCTCTCTCGTGTTCAGGTCACTGTATAGTTCTAGCTTGAGGGTTACAGGATAGCTTAGGAAACGAATATAGCGTTCAATTTGCAAGACTTATCGAACAGAACTTTAAAAAATATGCCGTATAACAATTTTGTGAACGAATTAAAGTTGGGTGACATGGCTCCGAATCGATCACAGTGGCGTCGGTGTATACACTCTCTGTTCTCCCTTAAACTAAGAGATTAAAATCGCTTCACGTCTTTCTTTCTATGAACTAATTCTTTCTTCCTGTACTATATCCTTATTGCAATCTTTCTTTTGTATATTACCACCTCTGAATTAACTACTTTTATGAATCCGGTGTCCATCTTGTTGTGTTAATGAGGTATGGCAATTTGGACCGATGCATATATGTGCCTGGTCCTACGTTGTAGCTGACTGACTGACTGACATCTTCAGGACCGTTGCAATTTCAGTTTGGTCGTAAAGTCTATTAGTATGACACTCCACTGGTGCCGGTTCTGTGTTTGGGAAACCTGGACACTACGACTACGAGCTGTTCAACGATCTCCTTTATTTTGTCATAATTGTCTAAATGGTTGTTCTCATTCTCTTCAGTTATTTGATCATACTCAACGTATAACCTAGCATATGTGTACATTAGTTCAAGTTGCTATACCCCATCAACATGAGATAGAATTGTCAGAGCAAATACCAGAGTAATAGAAGCAATAATACTATTAGTGGTAATTAGAAAGAACGAGCATTGAAGATATTGTTTGGTCACTCTGACTACGGCGACAGACAGCCAAGATGCGAGTGGACCCCAGGAACGTACGTTATTAAAAAGGGGAGGTGTTGGGGATGTTAGATTCCCAGAACTCACTTAGTAAACACCTTAATTTTGTAAAGTTATTTTGAAAATTTGAATTTTTGTTTTCGCGCCGAAAGCACTCTTTTCACCTTTATGTCGTATTTCCCACTTGGGAGAATCTTAAACGTTATTGGTTCGTTGTATCTTTTAGTATGCTATTTTGTAACGCTTCCCAAGGACAGTTTTATGCTGTATACATACGTTTGGTTGCTTGCGGAATATATTTATCCGTTTCGAACTTGGACTTCTCTCTAGTTAGCGGGGCCGGATTGCATCAGAATAGCTAGCTTATTGGTCTTTGGTCACAGTCTTTGCTTTGTTCGCAGACTAGTTGAACTCGTAATCGCTTCAAACATAACAGTGCCTACCTCAATATCTCAGTCTAACAGTCAGTGTCTTCATGGATCGATGTCATTTCTTAATTTGGACACCCTTAACATACTCCCAATATGGTTATACACCAGTCATTGTCGGCCATCGAGGTAGTCGGTGAACGGGTATACGTGATCCATGTCCCAACCACCTCAATTGATGAAGATTAACCACCTTCTCTATCGACTTGCCATACTTATGTAGTACTTTGCATCTGACCTCGAAATTCCTAACCTGGTGATCCCAAAATATACTAGCAATACTTTAAAGACACCTTTGATCGAATACTAGTAATCTACTAATATCTATTTTTAAAGGTCACGTTTCGCGGCTGCAAAGTAGAAGAGCGAATTTCCGCACAATATCTTCGTCCTTTAGTTGGAAAACGGATATCTTATCTACACTAACTGACGCAAATTGGCAAACGCCAACCAAGGATTCTGAATATGTGTTGAGATTTCGTTGGACATTAACCCACCAGGGCTGATGACGCTTTCAATATAATTGAAGTTATCAATGTATTCAACTACTGCGCTCCCTACTGCTGGCTCTTGTATATAACTTATTAGAATCACGATTATTTATTATTTATTTGAACATAAATATTGGTACAAAGGGGCACCGAATACATACACCACACAAGCCACTTGATTTGTGTGTGGGCTGTGATACTGCCCGGGTGCCCAAACCGAAGCGAGTGATTTTCTTAGGGGGGCCACACCCGGAGCCTTCGACCTAAAAAATCTGATCCACAAGGCAACGGACCAACGTAAGGAGATGCAGTTCCATGGTAGCCGGTGACCAATAATTGGTTCATACGCAATTTGTTTGCTCGGGATCCTGGAGGCCATGTGTATCATTGGTTTGGAATCAGGGTTTTCCAACTTCCCTAGGTGGATCCTCCATATCCACCAACCCAGTTAGAGCGCCGGGCATTCGCTTTTCGTCCTTTAAATTTCGTAGGCAACAACCCCGTCGTAAGAAGGCAGTGTGCAGAACTTCCCTGACAGTGGCTTTAAGCGCGTGGCCACGTGATAGGATTTCGAGAGGGAGAGCAGACTCTCCCCACCTTTGACCGTACCGGGGCAATTACAACTTTTCCGAGTTGTAGCTATCAATAAGTTTGTTCATTAACATCTTGAAGGCCCCATTTACAGACACATCAGGCAGAGCGAGGGCCTATAACCACCTCTTTCCATTGCTTCATTTAAACAGTGAGGTGCCCAATTTTACCATCCCTCTTCAACTTTGTCATTAATGGCATTCTGGAAACAGCTCTGATGGATGCAAGTAATGGCGGTGTGGGTCTGTTGCCTGGCGAAAAACTTTTCGGCTTCGAGTATACGGATGATATTGTCTTACTCTGAGACGATATCCAAGCCATGCAATGCACCTTCTGAGTGCAAAGTACTATTAGAAGACTGGCAGAAGTTTGTCCCTTCACTCACTGTTGTTGGTGAGCAGATAGAATTAGTGTAGAAGTTGGTGTGTCTGTGTATCTGTGTAAATGCTGGTGGTGGCGTGAGTAGTAAGACCAATTCACGTATAATAAAAGTTCGTTTGTGTTATTTCGACGTGTGCAGTCTTTGGAGCTTTTGTGTTGTTATCCTGGGTGTAAAGGGTTGGATCTACGACACGTGGATTAGAGCAGTTGTGCTATGTGCTTTCTAATCCTAAACTGACCGAGTTGAGGATGTTAAGTGACTCTCTATGTTTGATCATCGTTGTCTGGGAAGTATTTGTGACATTCAGTGGCAACACGATTTCATTAATGTTAGAGGTTCTGGAACGTGTGTTCAGACACAATGAGGATAATGCAATTGGTTTGAACATATTGGAACGCTGTCTTGGTTTGCTTAGATATTTAATACGAGTGTCATGCCAATGAATTTCCCATGGTGGATTATTTGCGGACACAGGGAGTTGTTAGAAAAATCAGAGAGGTGGTCAGTGTATGACATGGTGTCGTGGTATCGAAGAAAGTTGCAGAGAAATTACATTTGTCTTTCACGACCAGCTGATTGGGATCCTAGAAATGGTGCGACTCAGTGTCTTGAGAAGTTATCAGATATGGGTTAGAATAGAACCAGTGTTGGTCCTGCTTTAACATTATTTTGTTTTCTGCGTAAAAGTGAGGATTACTTCTTTATCTGAATTGATTCTTTCTGGTTGTTTTTTTTCAATTGGACTGTTCCTCCTGTATTATTATTATCACCATCCACTAATTTCTATTCATTTTTGTTCTCTTTTAATTATACCCACCTTTTTTCTCTATCTCTTCGCAACCTTATTTTAATTGTGTGACGCATATATATTTTGGTGCTTCCCCATTGTATCAATGTTTATATGCTCAAATAGATGAGTTCGTGTATTGAGGCAAAATTTGCGTCCGGATGGAGAGAAACACATCCCAACCATCATCGTTGCCCAAGGAGATCAAAATACTGGATTTCTTTGGCGTCTACGCCAAACGAAACCATACCAGCCGGGTATTTTAAGTCAACAAGAGAATCTCATGGCAGGTTGGCTCCTGATTGGTCAAACTACGAGTGTTATCTCTGAAGAATTGTCCTCGATAAACGCCAGAAATTAGCCTAGTTTTCCCTTCCTTCACGTGCCCTAGTTAGGCGTTCTATGATTATTGTGGCTTGCATTAAAAACCGTGTTAATCAAATCGATTCCTCTGCAGCTATCACAAGAGGATTTTCGTCTTTTATTGTAGACCGAAACGATTAGTGATCAAAACAAATTTTTACGAAGAAAGTAGAAGGTTACAGCAGGATCGCCCCTGAGACGACATTCGTAAAACATGTCCAAGCCACCGAAGTCGGTGTTTCAAGATGGTGACACCAATTGCATTATCATCTCTGCAACCGAACACACGATGCCGAACCTCTGCATTGCTAACATGGTGTTGCCATGAATGTCAGCAATACTTCGAAGACAGCGATGATCGAACACAGAGAGTCGTCTAACGTCCTCAACTCGGAGAGACCAGGTTTCACAAGCATAGAGCAAAACTGCTCTCACCGACGCGTTGTAGATCCGACCTTTTAAGGCCAGACTAACATCACGCAGGCGCCAAAGATGGCCCAGATTGGCATAAGCCGCTCTGGCTTTCACTATTCGTGCATTGATCTCATCACTCACACACCCACCACCACTTATGCAGCTACCCAGATACACGAACTTCTCGACTACTTCTATCTGCTCACCATGCAGGGTGAGTACAGGATTAGAATCCTGCCAGTCTTGTAGAAGTACTTTGTACTTCGAAGGTGA